CGCTGGACGCATGCAACGGGTCCGTACGAGCTTGTCGCGCGCCGCAACGGAGATCATCTAAAGCCGTGCGCCCGATGCCCACGTGAACTTTGATGTCGGCCTCTTCGAAGACACCGTACTGTCAGCATCGTACGCTTGCATGCATGCACGTCAATCAAGAAGTACAAAATGCGGTCACGTCGAACAGCCCACCTCATGCAAGCCGACCCCAACGAGCTTCCTGTTCGTAATGGCGGCACTCAGTCTCTTGTTCAAAGAGCCCAAACTTCGTTGAAATCTTCCTCTTTCCCTGCAAGACTGTACGAAACAAAGGCGTCCGTGGCTTGACCTTCCTCCGCCGTGCAAAGTGCTGGTGATGCGCGTGGCGGTGCGTCTGCTGAAAGAACCACTTGCGGGCGGCGCTGCTGGTGAGTTATTCTCATCATATGGCTGCTCGATCGACCGCGCAGCTGATGAGACCTACCCACATGCTCGACCTTGAAATCGTAGAACAAAATGAAGCCATTGTGAAATATCCTGCGGATTTCTGTCGGCCCATTATAGAATCGAGCTTCGCTTCCGCCCCTTCCTTCTCGTCCAAGCACCATCTGCCGATTCTCAGCCTTGCTGCAATACTTTGCCGGCCCTTCCGAATATGATTATCTGAAATCGTGATTCACGCAGTGCGTAGTTCGAAAGCTTCTCGTTCCTTATAAGACCGTTCTAAGGCATCCTGCGAGATTGTTTCTTTCCTTTCTATACGTGGACTTCGCCCCACCCCCCCTCCCCTTTCTCGTCGAATTGTAGAAGACCAATGCTGTGAAGTCTCCGTAGACGCGCCTCGCCCTTGCTCGCCGAGAATTTTTACAAATAAGCCAAAAAAACAGCCCACAACAGCCAGAACTACTTACGGACTTGATGTCGTCCTACTGGGCCGAGCCCAGGTCTAATGACTCACTCTGATCCGTCCGTTCTGGCCATACCTTCCGAATATGTCGGCGTTTAACTGGTTATGCGTGTTGTAGCTGTCTCCCTTGCCGGGCGAGTGCAAATCCACACATCTCTACGACACCTCTGATACGTTTCAGACGAGGCTCTGCTTATGATGACTGCAAACCTTGTCCTTCGGACAAAAATAGTTTGCTCTTAGGTCTGATTTCATTCATGGTTTCTGTTCTGGTCGTGATGATCGGGATTCGCTCTCTTCCTCGAAAGCACATCTGTTTGCCCGGTTTGACACCTCCGATACATTCCACATTCTAATGTCACACTGACGTCACCTTACATCTGGCACATCTAATTGCTTATTTCTTCATTTTTCTGTGTTTAGTCCCGTTCTCTCGTTCCTCTATATGTGGGCTTCACCCCACCCCCCCTCCCTTTTCTCGTCGACTTGTACAAAACCAATGCTGTGAAGTCTCCGTAAACGCGCCTCGTCCTTGCTCGCAGCGACCCCACCTCGCCGAGATTCTATTTACAAATAAGCCAACAAAACAGCCCACAACAGTTAGAAGGCCAAAACTGCGGAACTGGAACCCTTGTCGGCTTATTGTTATGTATCTGTTTGCTCGACATTCTGATTCGATTACGGACACCTCTGATACGTTTCAGACGCTCTGCTTATGATGACTGCAAACCTTGTCCTTCGGACAAAATTAGTTTGCTCTTAGGTCTGATTTCATTCATGGTTTCTGTTCTGGTCGTGATGATCGGGATTCGCTCTCTTCCTCGAAAGCACATCTGTTTGCCCGGTCTTACACCTCCGATACATTCCACATTCTAACGTCACACTGACGTCACCTTACATCTGGCACATCTAATTGCTTATTTCTTCATTTTTCTGTGTTTAGTCCCGTTCTCTCGTTCCTCTATATGTGGGCTTCACCCCACCCCCCCTCCCTTTTCTCGTCGACTTGCACAAAACCAATGCTGTGAAGTCTCCGTAAACGCGCCTCGCCCTTGCTCGCAGCGACCCCACCTCGCCGAGATTCTATTTACAAATAAGCCAACAAAACAGCCCACAACAGTTAGAAGGCCAATACTGCGGAACTGGAACCCTTG